AGACTTTTGAACAACTTTGCTGGGAAATCCCTATTTGCCACTCTGCCCTTTTTAGAACTAGTTTCCACTTAACCAGTGGCACTGAATTTTCAAAATGGGCTGATGAGGCTTTGCCATGTGATTCCCATTATCTTAATGGAGTCTGCGTGTCTCAGTCCCCACAGACTAATTTGGAAAGGGTAGCCTGATGGATAATTGGGATCCAGTCACCCAATGGATTGAAGAAATCCAGTGAAGAGGCCTAATGTTCAAGGGAGAGCATAAATTGTTCCGAATGAGAGATAATTAGTACCTGTGATTACCCATCCAGGCATTACAGAATGAACTGACATTTCAGAAATGCAGCTTCATCCCATGGTGGGCAATTATATTAAAGGCAATTCTGGTGATTGAGTGTCCTTCCAGCAGGACAGGCTTGTTGAAATCCTTTATTCACCTGAGGAATGGTTTTCTTTAATGCATCTCATGACTGAATCCCAACCATTTGTGAAGGAAATAACAGCCTTCCTGGTCTGGCTGAGAGCTGAGACCTGTAAGGACCGAAATGGCTCACAGAGGCCCCCTTTTGGAAGTGACCATCCTAGAAACAAGGTGAATTTCTGTCTTGCTGCAGTTGTTTTAAAAAATAAAGAGCTAATGCCTATCATTATTTTGGGAACTGGTATCTCTACAGCAAATACATTCCCATTAGAATTCTAAGAACAAATTACATCTGTTGACCAGCAATTTGAAATAGAAATCCCATAATTTCTTTTAATTACTTTGAATGTTTTTGCATGTAAATATACCTTTTTATAAATGACTATGTGTTCTCTTAAGTATACGACACATTTGCATAGAAAAACTAACTACTGAAGAGAAAGGAAATGTTTCCTAAAATACAATAATGAAATCTTTGGCTGCAGCATGTATCCCACTGCAAGGATTATCCAGTGGTTAAAGTTCTTTTTCAGTGTAACTGGCTATCTGCTCATTACTAACTCATGTAACTGGCAATACCTCAACCATACAATGAAATTAATTTTCAAGGTGAAGTTGGATCTAACAACTCTAGGAAAACAGTCTAACGTGAGAATAACTGACCTTTAAAATCAAAGCACCAGTATCACACTGATCACAAAAGAGCTACAGAGTTGACACCCTTTAGGAGGTCTGGACCTAAGTAAAAACTAAAACTAAAATGATATTTTTTTGAAGACATTTGAAAATTGCAGCTTAGACATTCAATACTCTCCCCAAAGCCTCAGGATTTGCTGCAGGGAAGCTGAGGGAGGGGACCTTTTTCTCACCCTGCTTCAGCCCACCTCTCCGTGGCTCTAAGATCAGGAGCTGCCACAGGCTTGCTCAGATTCTCATTCATGGGGAGACAGAGTTCACTTCTGGGCTCTGTCCATCTTGATGAAGTGGAGTTTCTCTGTAAACTTTGATGGGTTTTGATTTAGGTCCCTAGCCTCAAATTTTAGACATGGTTTGAGGCACACCTGCTGCCTTCCATTATCATTGGATGGGTGCTGAATACTTGAAAAAAATTGGTTCTATTACAATAATTACAGGGAATTAGTAATTTCTAAGAAAGCTTTCATGAGGTAGTTAATAAACCCACACTTTCCTGTATGTGTTAGTTCTCATTTTTGGCTAGATTGAATGGGGATTCCCACAGATGCTTGTCCACACTTTATTAACATGTAATTAGATTTTTTTTTTCCTTTCAGTAATGTATTAGTACTTTCCCTTTAATTACAAGTTGTTTTATTGTGAGAGCTTTGTCACTTATGCAGCTTGTTAAAAGCAGAAGACCAAACTAACTGTGCACAGTACTTTTAGTTAATGAATCCCCAATCATCTGTATTCATGGACAGAAAGGAAAACTTGGCAAATGAATGAGGATGTGGTAAGATTTGTGTGCCTCTGTGACCATTTGGCTTTCATGAAGATCCCTTTTTGAGCATAAAGGGAACTCTTGCACGTGGTTGGTTGTGATCCTTTCCCAAGCCTTTATTCACAAACACAGAAATACGCTCCTCAAGGGCATTGGGAAATGAGAACTTGGGGAAAGGGGTTCTATATTTCTTGCTGCCACAAAATAATCTGGAAAGTGACATTTCTCAGTGCTTTTATTTCTTATGGAAATTTTCTCTTGTGACATAAGCCCATCCATCCCTAATGGGCAACTCCAAGCTGGCTGAAGGCCCCTGTGTGAGCCGGTGTGTGAGCAGTGAGTTCAGGGTGGGCTCATTTAACTCCTGCTGCCCCTGCACTGGCTGTGGGCAGTGCCAAACCTGCAGGGACACGAGAACTGCCTTTGGTTAAACTCTGTTCACTCCTGGGGGTGCTGGGTTAGGCTGGGCCATCCCCAGGAGGTGAGGAAGTTTCCTCCTGCCCTCCACGACAACACACGGCAAAAGTGCGAATACGCAGCCCGGGCAACACTGACCACGACAGCTCTAAGGGAAAAGCAAAAGTGGACTCCTACCAGGGAACTCCATCCTTGAAGGTGAGAGAAGGCTCTGCTGGGCAGTTCCCTGAGCATCTCATTTCATCAGGCTTGCTTTGGGCAGGGAGTTGGATTGGATAACTGCCAGAATTCCATTCCAACTCTACGAACTGCATTTCTAAATTCTTCATCAGCGTTCAGCTAGAAGTTCCAAAAACCAAAGGTTGTCCTTTGAATGAGAGACAGCACACAGCCTTACATTTCCTCCTTTTGTTTTTGCATTGATACTTCTTTGCCTGCATGAAACAATGATGGTCCAGTTGGTTGGAACTGCATTTTAATGGTTTGCAAAAAGTTGTGTGCAGCAGTGAGTTCAGAGCTGGAGGGTATTTGGAAGCCTGGGGTCCCACTGCAGAAGTGTAGGAGGACAAAAACAAAAGTGAATCCCACCTTAAGGTGGATTATCTTAAATGATGACTTAATGAACCTAAATGATTCACTTTAATGTTGTTCCTACATATAAAGGCTATTTAGCAAACCTACAGAGTTGGTGATGAGATAATTACAGACAATTAACATACTACAATGAGATGACAGGCCCTTTTTCCAGGCATTTGGGTGAAGTGAGGCTGATTTGGGTGCTTTGCAAGACTCAGATAGTGGACTTGATGATCTCAGAGGTCTTTTCCGACACGGCTGATTCCATGATTCCAAGATTCTATGACTTTGCAATGAGTCCTCCCTGCATCTGGAAACAGGGGAACTGCTCTGAATAAACCAATTTGCTGGAGAAGGATTTTCATGAAATTGGAACCTCGTTAGGCAATTGGCGAAATGTTAATCTCAAATGTTTGGGATTGATCTCTTTTTCCTGCTGTTGTCAGTCGTCACTGCTCAAGGTGTTCCCTGCCAGCCCATCAGTGCATTCAACTCTGGGTCAGGACATAGCCCTTGATACTGTTGAAGGCTTTGAGAATGGGAAGAAGAAAAGGTAGTTTTGTCTTTACAACAGGCAATCTTAGCAGGTTTGGGCAGATCAGCTTGACCCCAACTTCTTGTGATTTTCCTCTCCACTGATTCCAGCCCTGCCAGTGAGTGAGAGTTACACCTTTACTGTTCTGGGACTGTCAGGTTTTCTGTGCCTCATCAATATTCCTCTGGAGCTGTGTATTACTCTGCCTGCAGAGATGAGGGAAATTGTCAGGTGGTGTAAAGCAGTGAATCTGAATGAATTCTGAAGGATTTATTAGCACTTTCACTAACTACTGCTATGACCTATGCTTTCTATAACACTCCTTTCAAGGTAAGATACAAACTATTGGCAAATACGAGAGGTTGAGGACGGTCTCAAATGACTGATGTGAGAAAGAAACTTGAAAGTTTTGCATCAGACTTGCAAATATCCTCCCCTCTGGGGATGGAACTTTCCCAGCATTTAAGATTACGGAAGCCAAGGGGAAGAAAAAAATGCACAAAATATATTAACTTTCTTCTCCTGCATCCTCCATGAAGAAAACAATGGAATCCTCAAACAGATGGTTTATATGGAATTAATGCTTCCTGTTATTCACCTGAACTGTGGCAATGATACCACATCTGGCCTGGCATGAATTCATATCGGTTTGGAACCTGTGCATTTCCATCAGCATCTGCTGAAGTTTGGGATAATGACCTGATAAGACCCTAACGGTCCATTTGGTGATCCAGACAGGAAGAGATTTTGCATGAGCACGAAGGTGGTAGCTGAGGTATTTTATTTAATCAGAAACTTTGGAGGAGTTCACAGGCCAGAACCCCTTAGGCCTTTGTAAGTGTGAGCAGAGCTCTGAGTGGGTGTCTGCGGGTGATGCTCAGCTAGATCTGCCTTTGAGTGTCATCCTTTTGTTCCTGTTTCCTCTCTTTCTGACTGAAGGGGTGAGGACTGCTTGGATCACTGCCTTTTCCTACCACTACCCAGTCTTCAGATGAAAATATGAAAGATCAAAGCCTATAAACCCTTCATCATTACCAAGATGTGGGTACAGGCAAACAATCTCTCAATAATTGAGGCAGAAAATAGCACTAAGTATTTAAATCATATGAATATGTATTATTATGTATAACAAAGTATGTTTACTCTTTCAATAGATGGCTATATTTAGTTACAGTTGTTACAGCATTATTCCAATTCTACCATGTTGACAGTGATTTGCATTTTTAATTTAAATAATTCCTGAATATGTTCTTAAGATGCACACAAAATTAATTTATAATTTCTAAATGCCATTTATAAACTGTTGTTTAGGAGTCTTACTTTTAAATGGCCAGAGATATATCGGGGTAAATTTCTATATATATATTTTTTATTTCATAATTCTTAAAAAACCAGCATGTGGAATAACTTTCTCAAATCAGGAGTAAGTTTGACTTCCAAATATAAATAATGAAAAATATGTTCCTATAAATCTAGGAAGGATTAAATAAAGTTATAAGTTATAAGGCTGCAAACTCCAGAGCTGGTGAGGACATCAGCACATATTGTGCCAAGGTCAGTCTCCAGTGGGAATGTTGGTGCCCTCATGAGTGGCTGTCAGTGGGAGCCTCTCCATGGCCATAAAGCATCTGTGCAGTGACTCTGCTAATTTCTGGAACCAGCCAATCCTTGGATTACGTGGCATCATTTTGTGAGCATAACTGAGTGTTTTCATGCTATTTCCTTTAAACATGAGAAAGTGAAGTTAACTGGCTCTTCAATTTTGTGCTGGAGAGTAAATTCTGCTTGAAGAGCTTGTGAAAAGCACAGCTGGGAGAATTCCATGCTGAGTAATCACGTTTTTTTAGTATTCACTGTCATTACTCCTTTTCAGTTCTCAAAACTCGTAACTTTGAGTAGTTTTCTAAATCACACTTGGTTTTTTAGCTGATGCTTGGATGTCTCCTTAGCCTGTTTCATGGTGGCAGACTGTAACCAGTGGAAAAGAAGATTCAACCATGCTTTCAATGTGACAAAAGAGCCTCTTCTGGTATGGGTTTCGTTTTCTAGAAATTAACTTCAAACTCAAATTGTCTTTCCCAAATCAAACCTGAGTCAGTGATGTTAATTCCCAAACCCAGGAGTTCTGAGTGCAGTTCTGCAGGGATGTGAGTGCCTGAGCACCAGTGTATGGGGCAGTTCTTGGGTTTTTAATCCACTTTTTCTAACAAGAGCTAAATTGGCTCTGACAGATGAAAAACTCTGTCAAAAGTCTTTTGAGCAGAAGCTATTTTTGAAACCCACCTGATTGCACAACTACAAGTGCCTGGGAATGGCAGTGCTGAGCCAGGACCTGGTTGTGTGAGATTCCACATAAATGCCATGCAGGGATTTTTGAGGAGGAAGAGCTTCCTCCACGCTCACACTGAAGGCCCTTCACTGCAGCTGCCTTTGCTCAGCCTTGGGAGATGTGAGTCAAAGCAAACATTCAAACCCATCTCAACCTGACCACAAGGGATGAAAAACAAAACATCTCCGTCAGGGAGTGGGACTGAGGCTGCAGGGCTGGGGATGCCAAGGGAATCCTGCCTGCCAGAACACACCCACCACCAACTGCCATGGAAAGCATAGGATCAAACAGGACTGGGTTGCTAGGATGATGTGACAACTGTGATGGGGTTCAAAGGCTGTTTTCCTGGACTTTCTAGTTAAAACAAAACAACACAACACACAAATGCTTTTCCAAGGTTTGTTTGTTTGTTTGTTTGTTTTTGAAATGGGAATTTTTATTGAGGTTTTGCTCTCTGCCCCCTGGAGAGCAGGGGGTGGGAAAATCCCTGGGGTTTTTTTTTGACAGTTAAAACAAGCTCTGTTTTAATAATAAAACTTAGCAGAACTCTGTTGAAGTAGAAGAAGTCTCACTATCTCTGCTAATGACTATACAGATCAATCAAAAGTGTTTATACCAGAGAAGGATGGGATGGATGCTCAGAGGGCTGGAGCAGCTCTCCTATGGACACAGGCTGAGGTAGCTGCAGGTGTTCAACCTGGAGAAGAGAAGGCTCCGGGGAGACCTTATTGCAACCTTCCAGTGCCTAAAGGGGCTTATAAAAAGGAGAGAGAATGACTTTTTACATGGACAAATAGTAACAGGACAAGGGGGAATGGTTTTAAACTAAGAGAGAAGAAACTTAGGTTAGATGTTTGGAAAGAATTCCTGGCTGTGAGGGTGGGGAGGCCCTGGCACAGGTTGCCCAGAGAAGCTGTGGCTGCCCCTGGATCCCTGGAAGTGTCCAAGGCCAGGTTGGACGGGGCTTGGAGCAACCTGGGCTGGTGGAAGGTGTCCCTGCCCATGGCAAGGGGTGGGATGGGATGGGCTTTAAGGTCCCTTCCAACCCAAACCATTCCATGGTCTATGGTATCAGAGAAGACAACATCAAAACTCAGAGGGGTAAATACTGTGTCAGTGACCAGCTCAGGCTGCGCAAATTGGGTGCAAAATTTGACTTGGAGATTTCTCTCCATGTTTTCCCCTCTTCCAGAGGTCTTAGCCAGCGTATTTAGAACAAAGGGGCTTTTGAAAGCTCAACCACCTTTTTAGTAGAAAGATGAGTTGTAAGGATCAAGAAAACAAGCACTCAAAGCTGCAGAAAATCTCTGAAAACAGAGGGGAGGAAAAGGTTTTCAGGTTCTTTGTTTTTCATTATCATAGAACCACAGATTCATAGAATGGTTTGAGTTGGAAGCGATCCTTGGACCAGGCTGCTCCCTCTAACCTGGCCTTGGACACTTCCAGGGATGGGGCAGCCACAGCTTCTCTGGGCAACCTGTGCCAGGGCCTCCCCACCCTCACAGGGAAATCTTAACATCTGTTCTAAACCACATCTTTACAGCTCCACAAACAGCTGCACGAAGCCCACAGCCTCTGGCTCAGATCTCTGCCCACTCCATTGCTTTTCATCTCAGGAACACCTTTCCCGCTGGCTGGATCCCACGGCAGGTTGTGCCAAGGCAGGTTCTGCTGCATGGGCAGAGCTGAAAGCCAACAGTGCTGGAGCCTGGATGTGGTTTTGGTGGCACATTTCTCTCGGAGTACAAGTCACTACGGTCTGCTGTGCTTTCCCAGTGCCCTGCTCACAGCAGCTGGCACAGATGCAGCACAGTGTGACAAATGTCCCACCTGGCCACAGCGCTGGCACTGCCTGGTGGTGCAGTGAACCCTGTGCACACATCTGTGCTCGTGCCACGGCCCCATCCCTGCCCTGCCAAGCACCTGGGCTGCTTTGCAGGAGCTTCTGGCAGTAGTTAAGTAAAAGATGAACCCGTGTCTAACTATTACAGCAGAAAGATTGGATAATTGGGCGGGAGAATCCTTGTATTTATGGACGCTGCTTTAACTCCTGGTTCTTCGGAGCTTCGGGCAGTGAATCCCTGCATTGACGGCTGTGTGCACAAAAAAAATGACCCATTCTGACACTACAGGAGGAGAAGTGTGAGTGTAGTGGTGGAAACTGAGGGAAGCTCCAGCTGGAATAGCCACCTGTCCTGGGCACAGCTGTCCCTTCCTGGACAAAGGGAACAGACTGGACAAGCCCCGCAGGGCTAATTAGATAAAAGGCTCCTGGGTAATGGCAGTTTTGCCTCTCTGAAGGGCCTGACTGTCCTCTGAATTTGTGAGAGATTGGGAAGCACAGAAGGTACATTGGGGAAAGAGGAGTGTGCTCATGTTAATTAAAGACAAAGGAGCTCTGTGAGCCAGACTTTGCTGGCAGATGTGCTCCCCTGCACGGAGGCAGGAGCGTTCTGCACTCAGCACTGCTCACCACCAGGATTATCTCCCTCTAAAGATGATGTCATGTTTTCAGCCTACATTTTATCCCTCTCCAGCTATTACTTTTTGGCACGTAAACTCATGTGAAGTTGGCATCCCGTCCCCTGCATGGGCACAATGCCACTGTAGCAGATGGGTGAGCAGTGAAACGAGCACAAGTGGCAAGACAGACCCTGTCAGGGTAACTTCCTTTCCAGGAACAAGGAAACAGCATTCAGTGGAGTTGTTCAGTACCTAAAATACAGGTATAATGACATTATAATGACAGCATAATCCATTCCTGAGCTAAGTTTTGAAGAATGTAAGTTGCCAAACACAGGCTCAAAAAGTGAGAAAGGTGTTTTTGTAGTGACTTCGGGCATAAATTGCACAGAAGAAAATCCTGAGTCAATAAATTACTTTTCTAATTTTTTTTCTGAAGTAAGGACTTTTGCCTAAACACTTTGCTAAATGAATGAATGCTTGCTTAGCCTGGAACACAGGAAAAAGTATTCATGAACTAGACAACAAATGTGGAAAATCTGTCGGTGTTAGACAGTCTAATCTGGAATGGTTCCTCAGAACTAATTCAGTTGAGCGAGTCAGATTTTTGGTTTTCAATAATCCTACAGAAATTAAAATTTTTGAATTCAACGGTATTGATCCATGTCTCTATAAAGAGAGAGGAAGTGAAAAATCCACCATGGAAGATGCTGGATCTTTGCTTTTGGAAAAGCATGGGCTTTCCAAAGATCTCATATTTTCAGCTATATAAGTCTGGTTTAAGACAAGTGTTCTATCACATTTCAGGCATTTTAGCATTGCTGAATTCATTAGAAAGCACGGGGTTGCTTATAACCAGTTGTAACCTTCCTTCTGATATCAGCTATGACAAGAGAAAGAAACCAAAAAAAAAAAAAAAGGAGTCTTGTGTATTACACTGGTTTCATTTTCTTTTACACCCACATTAAATACTGTAAAACGGACATATTAAACCTTGGAAATAAACATATTTTTTATGTGATTCACGCTGAAGCTCTGTGGGTTCTCTCTGTGCTGCTGGGTGTTGCTGATGGCTGCCGGGGTTCCTGTCTCCCTGCCCAGGAGAGGAGTCGCTCACGATTTTTGTGGACAAACGGAAGCTGAGCAAGAGGTCGGAAGGGAGCGAGCCCGGCACCAACAGCTCGGCGGTGACGCTGGAGACCCTGCACCAGCTGGCAGCCTCCTACTTCATTGACAGGGACAGCACCCTGCGCCGCCTGCACCACATCCAGATCGCCTCCACCGCCATCAAGGTAGGGAAACCACCTCAACAGGAGTGCCCAGCTTCACTGCTGCTGCCCTGGGGAAACAGGGGTTGATTAGTAAAAAAAAAAAAACCAAAACATTAACTAAAAAATAGTTCCTAGCAAAATAATAAGTTTTTATTGTGAACTTTTTTTACCCGAATCAAAGCGTTCGATTTATAGGGAAGATTCTGGTTTAGAAGATGTTTGGAAGGAATTCTTGGCTGTGAGGGTGGGGAGGCCCTGGCAAAGGTTGTCCAGAGAAGCTGTGGCTGCCCCTGGATCCCTGGAAGTGTCCAAGGCCAGGTTGGACGGGGCTTGGAGCAACCTGGGCTGGTGGAAGGTGTCCCTGCCCATGGCAGGGGTGGGACTGGATGAGCTTTAAGGTCCCTTCCAACCCAAACCATTCCATGGTCTATGGTATCAGAGAAGACAACATCAGAACTCAGAGGGGTAAATACTGTGTCAGTGACCAGCTCAGGCTGCACATCTAAAGATGCAGTAATGATATTAGTCTGGGTGAATGATACATAATTTGATTGATACACCTTTACAGGAGTGTTTGGTCACTGAGGCAACCTCATGTACATGTGTGCTCAGTAACTGCATTTATAGACACATTTCTATTTCTCTTACTTCTTTTCTTCTTTTTCCTCTTCTTTTAATTTTTTTTAAATGCAGTTATTGTACTCCTGTGCCTGAAACATTAATTTTATTACTATTATTTTTTTACTGCCCTTTGGAACAATCTGGAGCTCTTAGCTCTACAGCTTTATGGAGAGGTGTTATTTTCTGCTAGGAATTTCTTTTAGCTCAGTTTGTCAGTGAAAGCATTCTGTCTACTGACTCTGCAGGTCACTCATAGAAAGTCTCCTTACAGGAGGATGCTTGGCTAAGATCTGAGTCCCCCAGGTATAGTATAAAGCAACAATTTTCCTTTGGAGCAGCTCTCTAGCCTTGTGTTGCTTATTTGAAATAACCTCTGTCAGTCCATTTCCAGTGTTGAAGAGCAAATAAAATTTTAGCTTGCAGTTGAATATGCAGTAATTATGAAAGCCTTAATGTAAAATGTGATTTAGAATCCTTTCTGCTTATTAGATCTTTCCACTGGTAACCAAGATCTTCACTAAAGACCACCTGAAGCCAGATGTAATTTCCAACTACCTTGGCTGTTAGTCAAGCCAATATGAATTTAGTTCCCTGGAAGTGCCTTTACAGGGAGAAGGTTTGACCAGAATTTGTGGATTGACAGCACCTGTTCAGTTTGGCTGCTGGTACATGGAGGATATTCCTCCTGTCCCATCCATCCAGGAATGGTGGCAGGGCAGCTCACCCAGCTGGACTATACTAGCAGAGTTGTTTATATTTTAGGAAGAGAGAACTGAGAGTATTAATGTTTTATTTAATTCATTAATGTTTTATATAACTCATCCTCTTCCTAGGAAGAATACAACTATCCTTTTGGGAATGTGTATCTGAATAAAATGAAAAAAAACAATATACTATATGGAACAGAAAAGACTTAAAACACAAATCAAAAGCCATGATATTTGCAGTTAAATCAGAGCACTTCAGTGCACAAAGGAGATCTGCCACTCCAGTTCCTGCAGGTTTGGACTTCGACATGAACAGGAATAATTTGCTTTGCTGTTTGACGAGTTGGTTTGTCATGTTTCTGTGACTGGCAATCTGAAACTGTGACAGGAGGGAAAAAAAAACTGCACAACTATTTGCACAAAAACGTATTTGGGGACTGTAGTGTTCAGAGATGATTTTCTTCGTGGCTGGACACCCCTAAAACATTATTTGAGAAGAGAGATTAAAAAGACACTCTACACAGACGCCCCCTCTCCCCCCCATAACCAAAGCCAATATTTCTTCCTTTTTTTTTTCCCTCCAAATCAGCGTAAGACTCCCTTTTCAAGTTAAGCTACATCACTCTCACACCTCTTTCTTTCTCTATTTATATGAAAAAAATGGCAGGTTTTCTTCTAAAAAGCAAAAGGATAATATTTATAAACACCACAGCGCATGTTCTAAGCAAGTTACTACATTCATTCTATGTCCTTTCTTGTGATTTTTTGTTTCTCCTGATTTATCTGTATTTTAGGCTGTCTGGTTCCTGCAAACCAGGAACACGTTAGCAAGATTTAATGATCATTTATTTATCAACAAAAATGTAAAAATAACAATTTGGAAAGAAATATTATCTCATCTACAGCACCATGAAATAGTAAGAAAAAAAATCTAAGCATTCAGCAGTAGAACAGAGTCTTGAAGCTGCCTTAAAGCACCCCCAAGGATGGATTTATTTAGCACAGGAAAGAGGATGAGCAACTCACCCACTCACAAATCAGGGCTGTGTCCAGGTTTGGCCACTCAGTTCCTAATGTTTCCATCCTCTCAGACTAATGAATTCTTCCTTAATAGATTAAGGTCTAAGGTCTTTACAGAAGGGACACAGAATGAGATCCATTAAGTCTCTGAGTTACAGAGCCCAATCAACAAGGCATCAAATATTAGGTGAGAGTGATCAAGCTCAATTAGTCTTCTGGAAAAAAAAAAATAAAATCAGCAAGAGATGTCTGTTTTCCCAAATTCTAAGGATGTCTCTTTAGAAAGCAACATATAATGAATAATTTTTTCTCGCTTATGGAGTTGAAACAATTAATACTGGAGAAATTCTTATCTTCTTTGTTCAAAGTCACTGAGATATGTGATTGCTGAATTTTCTTCTCACAAGTCTTGTTATATTATTTTGTGAGACTGATGCAGGATGACAATATTTTGATAAGTTTTATAATTAAGCTTTTCTATCAAAAAATGAAGTTGTCACAGAGAAAGGAAAGCATTAAGAAGAGGAAAGTGAGAATTAACATTAAAGCCTTCATATTTAGTTTTTATTTATCTAGTGAAAAACAACACTATTCATAGCAAAATCTGCTAATGTGCAGTATGAGGAAAGGAGTGGGAGAGATGAATTTGATGAATCAAGTTTGTTAATCAAATTTGCCTGTAATCAAGTTTGTTACTGTGACATAATTACCCTTAAAAGCAGCACTGAGGCTTTGGATTAATCACACAGACAATACATTGTTTAGTCCACATTTAAAAAGGTAACATCATCCCGTTACAACATTATCTGACTGGAAATCAAAATGTCCATGGGAGAAACCCATAGCTTGTATCAATATTTAACTTATTTAACAGTATTGTATTAATATTGTATATTCCTTCAGGATTGTATTAATTCATGCATTTTAGTGTAAGGCCTTGGGCTCATGTGCTAAATCAACAGTTTGGAGCCTCAAGGGCCTCACTGGAAACTCCCCCAACTCCCGAGAGCTGTGTCTCGTTTGTATGAACATTTCCATGAAGGTACATCCTGGTGTGTTTGAAATATTCCAGGTCCAACATTGCTTCCTCTGTGTGAGAAGCATTTTCCCATGAAAATTCCCTTCAGATGCAGGTTAGTTCTCCCTACTAACATCCCATTAGGATGATGGGGTATGCTCTCCTCCCATCCAAGAAAATCCTGGCCAGTTGTGGCAGCAGAACACAGATAAAGGCAGGGAATTCTTTCCTTTCCCTGGGGGGTGTCGTTCTGAGCGACATTCCCA